CCAACATTAAAATGCAGGCAGGCATCTTTGGCTTTAAACCTTTTTTTAAATTATTACTTGACTACAGGTGGTTTTCAAAGTTAAGAAACCCAATTTTTTGGGGTTTCAGTTATATCAGTTTTTTCAGCTATATCATCTTCCCACATTTTTAAGGGTTTTTGAACATACAGCGTAAGAAGTTTAACAACTCAGAATTTTTTAAATGTATGTATGAATCTTTATAAGTGTAAAGTATGAACATACTTATAACGTTTAAGAAAAATAGCAGTTAAATTTTTGCTCATAAGCATGAAGCATGTACCTTTTTCATTTGAAATAATGATTGAGACAAAAATAAAGCTTTGATTCAGTGACAGTGAGTAGATAAACAGCTTGATTTAATATTTAAGCACACTTTGCATATATACTTTCTTTTCTGTGTATTTTGAATTCATTTTAAAAGGTAAGTGGCAGTTTTTCATTCACTTCTAAACTATTCCCATCAGCAATGAAATACTTGGCTTGCACAATCCCTGGAGTCCCTGATTTCAGCTGAAACTTTCCATTTGACCCTGCCAGACACTAACTCTAAAAAATCCTTTTTTTCTTCCTTTTTTTTTTTTTTTTTCCTTTCTTTAAACTGGAGTGCGTCTCCAAAAGGTGCAGCTGTGTGCTGGTTTCATCTTGCACTTGCAGCAGAACTGGCACCACTAACACAGAATGCCATCGTCTCCCACACACTGCTGATGCCCGGGGACTGTGCAGGCCTGTCCATGCTAGTGGTTTGGGAAGGGTCTGAGTTTGGAGAGAAGACTTTCTTCTCTTCCTTTTCTGGTGATTGGTTGTCACCAGGGCAAAGAGGAGAAAATAGAACTAGTGGAAAATGCAGCATCTGATGTGTCATCAAAAATTCTTGCTATAACTGGAGATACCAGATCTAGTCAGTGTTGAAGATTGATTCCTCTCTCCTTTGGAAACTGCATGTTCTGGCTTCACCCACTGTTAGACCCTTCCACCGTTCTTTCTTTCCTCCACTCTCCTTAAGTAAAACTGATTTCTGTGGATAACAACTTATTCTGCTAAATGAAAAACTGGTGTTGGATTGTAGTAGAGGCATCTACAGATTTACCCAGATTCTAAAGAGTGAGTGGAACTGATTCTTCAGACTTAGACACTGGCTACAGCAGGATTCAGAAATCAAAAAAATCCTCATTCAGGTATAAAAATGTATGTTGAAAATGAAATCTGATGAGAACGTACATGCATGTAAACTTTATGAGGATCCTGCTTTCTTTGTGATTTTATCTGGTAGCTTCCACAGATCATCTGTTTTTATATCTTATCAATCTATCAGTCGATAGATATAAATCATGTATTATGTATATGTATATATCATGTTATATATATATATAATTATAATTAGTTCTGTTATATTTTGTGTTATAGAGCTCTATGGTCTCAAATCATAGTTTTCAAAGAAAAATATGTCAAATTTGGTAGTTCCTAACAATTGGCATTTCCTGTTAGAATTCCTTAAAATGGAGGCTAATGGAAAAACAAATGTTAACCTTGTGTATTCAAAAAGGAATCGTTGACTTTAGTAGTGTTGAAATTGTTAACATTCAACTTGGGAATACTTTTTAGACTTTCACTGTTAACTGATCTTATTGCCCAGAAGTAGAAGATGTGAATTTTAAAAGCTTCTTGGGTAGAGCACCCACGTTCCCTGTGTTTACATATTTTAAAGGGGAAATGGATTCAGTCACAGACATTGTACCAGGGAATAGGAAATCCTTGAATTGTTATTTAAGGGAAAAAAAAAAAGTCTCTCCTTGTAAAATTTACCTTTTAAAACTCCCATTGCAAAACACTGGTTGGTTGTGATGATTCATCCACTTGGGTATGAAGACTTCTTTCCAATATTAAATATTTAGCCGACAATGCACTCAGTTTGTTACTACAAATGACTAGGTTTTTTTTTTTTTTCCCCCTTAAAGTGGCCTGAGTGAAGTGTTGGAAAAGTTCTTTTGTTGCAGATGCCTAGTAGCTAGTAGAAGACTGTAGAAACACCATGTAACGTTTGTACAAATGTTCATGTGTAGCTCAAGATACTGAAGATAACTGCTTTTTTGGCTAAAGAAGCAATGCGAGGACTAAGGAGAGAAAGTTTTACTTTTTGTTTCTTCTTCAGTCTGAATTGAAGTATAGAGAAAGAGAAACCCTCTTATAAATGGTATTTGCCTATTGAGGTAATAGAACTGTTCAGTGCATATTTCAGTCACAATGTAATGAACTGTTAATTTAACTTTCGTATTTACCTACAGAAACTATGGTTTTTGATAAGATTCTAGAAGGAGATAAACCTTTATTAAGTAATTCCATTTTGAGTTCCCAATTTTAAAGATTTATTTGAAAAATGCTTTTGTAATTTTTGAGGGAGAGAAAGACCAATTGGGCATGTTTGTTACACAAGTGTGGTAAGAATATGTAAGTAGATTTATTACTCAATCTCAAGGAGTGTTTTTGCCTGTTGGCATGTAAGACCTGTAAGTTTGAGCAGGCTAAAGAGAGATACTGAAGTTGATCTTAAAGCTGCCTTCTCTTCTTTTCTATTTTTTTCTATTACATATGCTTACAGGATGATGGTTCATTTGCTCAGTGTAGAAGTCATCTTTGGGAGAGGGTTTTATTTTATTTATTTATTTTGACCTGATAAGCTTAGGGAGAGGGTAGTTTACAGTTTTTATCAAGGGAAATAAAGGGCACGCTTTTTCACTTTATGGTGTTTCTTTTACTTTATGATGTTTGTAATTAAAAAGACTATCTGAAGTTCTTAAGCATCTTTCAAATGCTCTTAACATTTAGAAATTTGGAGGCTGGCACTGCTAGACTTTTGTAGAAGTCACTCCTGTGAATTTGTTTGTCATAATAGTATATCCTAAAGATGTATTATTAGTTCCAAACAGATTATGAGCTTCATTCCTGGATCTGGATCTTTTGATTCGGGGGTATGGGGTGGTAGCTGGGAACATGTATTCCTAGTATATTGCCCAGATGATCAAGGGTTCCGGCAGTGTGGGGAACACGGGAGAGATGCGCTCCCCCAGCCTGCACAGCAGTGTCTAGAAAAAGCGGCACCTCCTCCTGCTTTATGGAGTCCAGAGTGTGGTCAGTCATACAGGGGGCTGCGTGGTAAACTTTGCATGCCCTGAGTTCAGATATTGACTGCCCTGTGTCAAGTGCTCTGCCCTCAAGGAAAGCTTGAGAGTGGGGTCTTTGTGGCACAAAGCCAATTCATGAGTCTTTCATCTGCTATTGACAAAACTTGCCTAGCTAGCCTGATGACTGTGCTTACCAATATCATGGTCACTGGCCACTTACAGCTTTTTAAATTTAAATCAATAAAAATTAAAAATTTAGTTCCTCGCTCATAATAGTCACATTTCAGATGCTAAAAAGCCACATGTGTCTATTCATTGCTTTTTTGGATAGCACAGTTAGTAGAACATTTTCATTACCACAGAAAGTTCTGTTGGATAAGGTTGCTGCATAATTGTCTTGCCTAAGTTAGCTCTTCTTTGATCCCGGGAGTTGGAATGGTTAATAGAGTCAGGTCGCAAGATCACATGTAACTGTTTATCACAGGGCATATTGCAAACTGAAAAGGTCTTATATGACAGGGTTTAGGTTCGCAAAATGACATAAATCATACTCAGTTCTCTAAGTCAGAATAACTTTTTTTTTAAATCGGGCATCTGTTACTATATGTTGACTCATTAAGATGAGCTTAATTATAAAATTGCTTGAACGTGATATATGGCTTACAAAGAATCATACCACTGAAATCTCATTAGGCCGAATTGTAAATATTTAATCTTTCTTACATTTTATCAGCTGTTCTTTGACAAGAGCACACTGTGATAAACCTTCAGTGTCTGAAAAGTCATTTACTGATGACTAATGAACAGTGTATACATGCAGATATTTTCATAAACGCTGTCATCAACCTATCTCGCAGTTTGAGAAATCTGAGGTGAATAAAGTTAGCTCCCTCTTCTGGTATTGGGAGAAAAATATTTTCATTAAAAATGGCTTCATATATATTTGGAGTGAGAATATAGTTACTATAATGTTGCAGGGCATTATTTGTGAATGTCATCCAATTAGATTTTTTTCTTTTGTATCATTCCAGTTGGTAGAATATATATATATATATAAAGAATAGACAGTTTCTTAAGATACTGACTCTCCAAAGTATATGTAAAGAAGTAAAGTTTCTGATAGTAGGTACACAGAGGGATTTAAAGTGTACAGCCAGTGGCCCTTCATTTGGCTTCCACATCTGATCCTAGGCCTACCCCTGACACTCTGGGGCCTAGGGCAGGTGTATAAGAGGATGCCCAATACCTGTGTCTTAACTAATTGAAATTACAAGTCATGCTATCAGACTTTCCATTAGAATGTGCCCCACCCCACCCCCGCCCCCCCTATCCTTCATAGCCACCAGGGAGCCATTTTTTAATTAGATTTCTTGGGCTCCTCAGATTTCCACCCCAGAGCACAGTGATAAGGGCAGAGCTGACCCTGGCTTTCCCTGACACTTCCCAGGCCATGACATCCAAACTCCCTTCCATGCGGTCTCAGCACCAGTCCATGCCTCAGAGCCCAGGGCTGCACCCCCACACAAAGGTCTGTTGTGAGGAGGATAGGTCTGGGGGAGGGGGGAAGCCACTGGGTCTGGGACTGGTGGGTAAGCTTACCGAGTGTATCTGAAGAGAGAAGTAGGCATGTCCCCTTCACCCCCAAAACTCAGCACAGTGGAGGAAGAACATAGCTAGAGGAGAACACAGAGGAGCCTCTCAAAGCACCAGGCCCAGCACAGGAGTTTCTGTTGCTCAGACCTGAGTTTGCTACTGTGAGACATGACTCAATTATTTTGTATTTCAGTGCACTTCATTGTTCTGTAATGTAGTCAATGACCCCTAACTTAAATGTAATCATTGACTTTTGTTTGCTTGCAGCTTTGACTCTTCCAGATCTCGCAGAACAGTTTACTCCTCCTGACATTGCCCCACCTCTTCTTATCAAGCTAGTGGAAGCCATCGAAAAGAAAGGTAATCTGACTGGTAGAGGGAGTCGGTACTTGTCCTAGCCTTTTGGGGGTGTTAGAATTTCTGTTCATCTTTGGGGCTCAGGAAATTCATTCTTGCTGCCTGTGCTAGAGACACACACTATTTGGAGCTCTGTCCTGAGAATTAATCCAGTCTGTGACTTCTGACTCTAGATTAGCATGTAGTTATTGTATGGAAATGATTAAATTCTCCATAATTTAATAAATGTAATTAACATGCTCCTAAGTGGGCGGATGATTTTGCCAAAAGTATTGACATGCCAGATAAGATTAATAGTAGGAGTTGACTTCCAAGAATATTTGTTACATCTAGAATAGATACTGGATGGAAACTGGAATGTCTTTCTGGCAGCAAGCTTGCCGGTCCTCAGAGAGCTGTATTTTGCATACTCAGTCTGTTTTGTGTCCTAGGTCTGGAATGTTCAACTCTATACAGAACACAGAGCTCCAGCAACCCAGCAGAATTACGACAGCTTTTTGATTGTGGTGAGTGTCTTGGAGTTAGAAATACAAATGGGAAAGACAGTTGTTACCTTTCTATTTCAGGTAAAACACAAACACAACAAAAACCTCAGACTTGTGGCATTCTGAATTTGAAGGGAGCCCAGATAGCTTGCACAGCTCCCTCTGCCCTATTATGGAAACAGTGCACGTCTTTTGCAGACCTTTGATGTTTGTCTCCTGACTGGCGGTGTGTGTGCCTGCCTGCAGGCACGTTGACTGTCCTCACAGCCAGGTCCTGCAGGACTTGCCGAGGAGCGATACAGTCTCGTGGGCTTTCCCTGGCTCTTCAGTGCCTACCATCTAATCCTGACCCTGCAGCTGGCTGCATCTAACTCATCTGGATCAGTTTAAAAAATATTTATAAGTCTGTGTCATTTAACAAATATCTCTACTGACCTTTTCCCGTCCTCTTCCATTTTGTTCTTGCTTTCTCCCTTCCTCCTCTGCTTTTTCATGCCATATTTACATGAAGCCACTTCATGATATTATATTCAGAATATGTTGATAAATAGCTCTATGGGGAAGCAAGCTCTGACTTTTAGCATTTGCCCATTTCCATGGTGTAAATAGTCCTACTATGGTCAGTTTCAAGCTGCCAAACTGGTCAGTGAAGAACTGAGCACAGTTGGCCAATACATGGCAGCTCTCTCCATAGCTCTGGTGAAATGACAGCAAGTATTTGCCCCCTTCCTTCTTGGTCAGACAGAAGCAAAAGAATACTATTCAAATGTGAATAAATTTCTTTGCCATCATCCCAATAGGTTATCATCTAGAAGAATCCCCCAGATTCTTCATTCCCTCTCAATACTTGAATAAATAATAATTTCCTGTCTCACATTATTTTAACCGAATTGGCATGTTTGAACCACAAAGTTTGGGAAGAAGCTCTTTCAAGTGTGTAATTGTGCAAAGAATGCCCATATGTCATTTAATAAATGAAATTCTGAAGTGTGAGGCAACTTCAAAATGAGGCAGCTGATGACAATTTCTAGAAAAGATGTTTCTGGAGGAGAAGAAGGAGATTAGATCTTTATCAGTAAATAGTTTCACTTGAAGTGCACCACCCACTTGTTTGAAGCTTTTACAAAAGGTTTTCGACTTTTATTTTTCTTTTGTACATGGAAATCAACCCTACACACTTACCAGGCTGGTTTTCTTTGCTGATGAATCTGCTGTCTCATCCACAGGGCAGGTCACTAAAAATTGACCAGCCAAAATCTCAAGGTGAAAGACTTATTTTTCTTTATTTTTAATAGCTTTAACGTGGTGTTCAGTAAATGTCATGCTATAAGTGTTTTGTCCTTAGCCAGTGAGATATAAATTTGTATGTGATCAGAAAGCTGGTCAAATTGTACATGTCAGAAGACACAGGAAATGCTTAGACATCAGAGACAAATGAAATGGGAGCTATTTGAGAAACAGTGGTTAAGTTTTTAAATGTGACTAAATACATAATGATGCAGTTTAGCTTTAAAAAACAAAGTCTTCACACCACCTGTGAGTGGAATAAAAAACCAAAATTCACGTCAGCAGTAGATTGTGACAGCTTTCCTTCTCCACTTACAACCAAACACACATGTAGAAAACTAGTATCAGTGGGACTCTTATCAAAGTGATTTTTGTGGCCAGAAGAGAGTAAACATTATCTGAATTTAGGAGTAGATCTCCAGGACTGTTTCCAACTTGAGGATTTTTCAGGTCATAAATATTATACAATAATCCTGGAGGAAGCTCAGAGATAAATCATTTAACCTTTAAAAAAAAAAAAAAAAGTGGCCTTTAACAAGCTCTGTGAATTGCCAGTGTCTGAAGAGGCCAGACATGGGGGACCACAGCGCCCTTTATTGGCACCTGCTAGGTTCTTTTATCTCGCCCACGCATTCCCTTGTGATAGAAATATTAGTTCCTTCTCAGTGGCAAAGCTGGGACTTGCATCCTAATTGTTCTAATTCCAAAAGTCTTTATTTTTCCCCCTCTACTACTGATCACTAAAATGAATTTTCTTTTCTTGTCTCATTTCACATATAATGGTGTAAGTTTTCTCATGAATACTTTGTATCGCTTAACTGAACAAGTCTTTTTCAACCTGAGCACTTTTGACAATTTATTCTGAGTAATTCGTGTTTGAATGACTTGTAGGTGAGAGGAAGGGGTTTCCTGTGCACTGTAAGGTATTATAGCCCTAGCCTCTGCTCCCCTGGGTGCCGGTGCTTCTAACACCTGTAGTGCCAATCAGAAATTTCCCCAGACATTGCCAGATTTCTCCTGATGGTGAGGGAGAGGCAGTAAAGTTAAGAACTCCACTGAGAACTACTATTCTAGATAGAGATCCCTTGGGGAGAGAATTCACTCTAGTGGGAAGAGGGTGAAATGTTGCAGAATATTTACTGTTTACCTGTTGTGAGTATCCTGAGTGGACGAAGATGTAAACTCTCTCAATCCAGAGAATATGTAGAATATGTAGCTTTTACCAGCTAGCTTCAAAAGTTATTTTCTGAAAGGTGTATGTAGTGCTACAAGAGTATGTTTGAGTAGTTTTAATGCAGAAAAGGAGCCTTAGAGCACAACAGTCAGAAACCCTGAGGAACTTTGGAGGTCATATTAAAAAATACATAGAACATAATATGTCCTCAACTCTAGTAGAATTTGATGTAAGATGAACTTATTCCAAGACTGCACAGGTTTATTGCACTCAATAACTATAAAAATACTCTGGATTACACCTTATAAGTTAGAGAAGGGTGAATGTGGTTAATTGTTCTAAGGACTTCTTAGAGTTCTGTCCACGGACCCTTGACAAGCACATTGTACATGCCGGGCACTAAGAGATGCTAGGAGGGCAGGTGAGAGCCATAGTCCATGCCCTTGAGGTGCTCGGCCTCCGAAGGAGATGGGTCATTATCTTCCTGTCTGTGAGGTGGCAGAGGGCACCCTGGCTGACTAGCCTGCTCTCACAGAGAGAAGTCCTGAAACCCTGCCCAGGGGGGAGGGATGTGGAGTCTCTCATGTCTTGAGGTTTTTTATTGACTCTCTTTTAAGGCTGTTATGCATTTTTAGGATATCAGCTCTTGTTACTTTGCTTAGCAGAGGTGTGTATTCCTTGAAGCAGACAGGGAGCAAGGTATATGGAAGGGCCAGAAGCTTGTCAAAAAAATCGGAGACTGTGAAATGTTCCTGTAGCTAGACGCACAGTTATGACACTCAGACAGCTTATTTTTAATGTTGACCCTGTCTGCAAAGATCTAGTCTTACCTTCTCTATTCTTGCTAAAGATGTGGCATGCCTCTGGTGAGTTCTTTGTAGGACATTTAAATAAATTAACTCTGTTTCTTTACTTTTTTCATTGTATCATTCATTTTCCCAAACACATCCTTGCACATTTTATAGCAGATGGATTTTTCTCAGAGCTTCACTGTATTGTGTGAGTGTATTTCAGGTCTTAAATGGGGCAAGTTTGCTTTATGATAATGATGTGTCCAAAGAATTTCTGTAGCTTCAGTCTTAAACCTAGAGTGATTTACATTGTCACATTTTGCTTATGGGTATCTGGGGTTCTATGCCCTCTTGCCTATTCCTCCTGAAACACCTTGAAGTAAACTTGGAATTAGTGTTCTTGCCTAAGCCACAGCCTAATTATGTCGATCACCAAGCAGTTTCAATTAATGATAATATCCCCCATATTTCTAACTGCTTTAGAATTCAGAGCTCGTCATTTTGTTTCAGATCTTCAAAAATGTATCTTTACTTTCAACAAAATTTCTTTCCAACTTAACACTGACATCAGCAAAGCTGTAAAAAATGTAGCATTTTGCTCATCAACCCTCTTCTTCATGGAGTACACAAGTCTTATTCCAAGACATTCTTCATGTCACTAGAATTACTCCTTCAGCACCCTCCAATGCTGTTCCCATTTCAAGATGCCCTTGGTCAGTCCTGCCCCTGACTTCTGTTCCCCGTGTCTTTTGTTTCTGCTGGGCTCTGTGCCTCTTTATCCCAAATACTCAGAGTGGTTTTGACTACTATCACACTTATTGTACAGTCTGGCCTTTTTTCCTGCTGAAGGACTCGGTAGATAGATGTGCCTGTCTTATCTTTATTACAGACAACTCAGTGCCAATACGTTAGACTAGTAATACCCTGTCAGATTCAGGGGGAAATGGTCCAAAGTTTATTTGTATGAATGTTCTTGCTAAAAATTCTGAAAGATCTTACTGCTCAATCATTCATTTCTCTGTTAGCTTAAATTTGTGTTAATTATGAGATACACAGTATCTCTCAACTCATATTTTAGGAGATCTAGGAAATTGTATTTCCTGTTTTCTATTGAAGTTTTAGGAAGCATTTACTAGAGGATTAACCATTCCTAGGCAGAACCTTCTCATCAGGGCAGAACCACCCTGCAGAAAGTATCTGGAAATATTCGGGGGACTATATATGTTTCCTTGAACTGCCACAAAAATTATACAGGGCGGGTGACTTAAAAAACAAACCAAAAAACCAAAAAAATAAAACAAACCTGTTGTCTCACAATTCTTGAGGCTGAAAGTCCCAGAGCAGGCGGGTTAGGCTGTTAGCATGGCCTTTCTCTTTGGCTTGTCTATGGCTGTCTCTTCACGGTGCTCTCCGGGACTGCTGTCTGAGTGTGCTACCCCACTGTTCCTCCAAGTGTCCAAATCCTTTCCTAGTACAAGGACATTAGTCAACGTGGAGTAAGGTCCTCCTTAATGACCTCATTTTAACTACCTCTTTAAAGACCTTCTCTCCAGATGTGGCTACTTTCTGAGGTGCAGGTGGTTCAGTGGGGAGACACAAGGTGGCCCCTAAGAGGGAAGAGTGTTTTTGTTGCTCCAGTCTGAGCAAATGTTCTGGGCGTCCTGGGCAGGGCCATTGTGCTAAGTGCTTGTTGAGTGGGGGACACAGCTCCACAAAGAAAAGTTATTCTGCTCGGAATGCCAGCAGCAACCCTGTCAGAAACTGCTAATCAATTCTCAAGTGTCTTTGATTTGTCTTCATATTCTTTCCTTTTATCTGTCACCATTAAGTCAAACCTTCAGAAAATGTCTGAAAATTTTTTTTTTAACGTTTCTATCATAGATGCCGCATCCGTGGACTTGGAAATGATCGATGTGCAAATTTTAGCGGATGCTTTCAAACGCTATCTCCTGGACTTACCAAATCCTGTCATTCCGGTAGCCGTTTACAGTGAGATGATTTCTCTGGCCCCAGGTTTGTTTTCTCCCTTGAGAACCTCACTGAACATATACATTTATTGAGGTGTGGATGTGTGTGTAAACTTTGCTAAATGTTACCTATGAAGATATTTTAAAACTACTAGTAGAAATGTACCCTCCCCCACCCACCATCAGCACAAATTCCCTTCCTTAGTAGGGCATCCAATTGAAATCCCAGGTTCTCGTTTGCTTAGGAAGACTGCCCGCATGTTGAAATGGCTACCTGTTAACCTTTATCAGTATTAACTAAGTTCATTACATCAGTGAAGGCCACAGTGTTCCATTGGTTTCAGGGAACAGACCAGGGCCCATTACTGGGGATGTTCTTATCAAGCTCCTTTAGTGGCCATTACAAAAAGTGTTGAGGGAAGAGGACTCAGTTTTAAGAGCTAATGCTGCTCAGTTAAAGTGCTTTGGAGACAGGAAACTGTGGTTCATCACCTTCCAAGTTAAAACCTATGAGACATACTTTATCTGATGCGCCTCCAAATGAGCCAATCACAGTCTCACTTGAAGCTGCTCAATAGAGGGCAGATCTCAGCCAGTACGCCCTGAACTTCTTGTGGTTTTTTTTTTTTTTTTTAACAAGAGTTTGTTGCATTTCCATTTGACTTGAGATTTCTACTTTCTCACAACACCCATTCTACCCTGAGCAAATGTCCTGGATGCTACTTCTGATGATTTTGTTTTAAACAAGTCATTTTTCTGTAAATAGAAATTTTCTAAGTGTTTTTCACTAATACCTCGACACAGCCTCTTACTGTTTTTTTCTTGCCTTTTTTTCTTTGAAACTTCTAGAAGTACAAAGCTCCGAAGAATATATCCAGCTGTTGAAGAAACTCATTAGGTCGCCTAACATACCTCATCAGTATTGGCTTACGCTTCAGTATTTGCTAAAACATTTCTTCAAGCTCTCTCAAACTGCCAGCAAAAATCTTTTGAATGCAAGAGTACTCTCTGAACTTTTCAGCCCTCTACTTTTCAGATTTCCAGCAGCCTGGTAAGTGAAAGGGAAGAAGTGTGTATTTGGGGTAGTGAGGATAATACTACATTGATAAATGAGCTTATACTGGTGCTAGTTCACAGCACATGTAAGCATATATAAGCATATTTACACCAGACACCTTCACTTGAATGTGTACAAATAAATATGGGTTTGTGCTTCAGGGAGAAGGTTTCTAATAAATCTTTTTTTTTTTTTTTAAAGCTCTGAGAATACGGAACACCTCATAAAAGTTGTAGAAATTTTAATCTCAACTGAATGGAATGAACGACAGCCTGCACCAGGTAAAGCCTTTTCAACATTTAAAATGTCATTTTAATGTCTTACTTTTAAAATCCTGAAAAATGGTAGCTTTTTACCTCCATTGACTTAACAAGTTTCTTGTGGAATCAAGAACCTTAATAACATGTTACCTTGTGATTTAAAGAAAAAATTACCTGAACGATAGTGTACATGGTAAATATTATCCAGACTTCGTATTTGTGGATTAAGCTCTTGGTTTGAGAGGGTGGTTGTTGGGAGTGTTCTCTGCACCCCTCAACTTTTATACTTCTGGTTGTTGAGTTAATTACAGATTTCATTTTAATTGTTGACATTTTTGTTTTTCTTTCTAATACTTATAAAGTAGGAGATTTATAATTACTATGTAATTTAAATTATTTTGGAATGTGGTTTTTGGAAGCGGTATACTGAGAAATGTGTGTCAAAATAAACATTTTCAATAATGCAAGCAGTATGAAACCAGGGTGTTCACTGCAGCAAGTTAGAGCAAGCCAGATACTTCTTTGAAAGCAGGCTGGCTTTCAATTAGTCACTTAACAAAGCAGGAAGTGTGGACCGTGCTAGCAGTAGTTTTAATCTAAATCGTGTCTTTTTCTTCTACTGTGGAAAGTCTCAATAATCTTTATTATACACTGTTTAAAAGTGAGCTGATAGAAGCTGGTCATTTGAGTAGTGATGGGAGCCTCTACGTGAAGTGCAGTTTCAAGACCAGAAGAAGGTGTTGCTTGTCATCTGTGCTATGATTTAATAACACATCATGAATTGATGATTTAGTATAAGTAACTCATGCAAATTACAAATTTATCTCTGGATGAGCAGGCACAGGGACCCATTTATCAGTGTCATTCAATGGTGAATGAAATTGTACCTTTTTTTGGTTGTTACATAGTCAGGCTTGGTGGTTTGCAGTTGGTTGGGACAGACTGTGGAGAGGGCTTGAGGCCTAACACCCACCTGTATGGATGGACTGAAGGATGGGATGGGGACCCACTCAGAGGCAGGTATTGGGAGGGGCTTCCGTGGACAGGCTGTAAATAGATTTCGAAATGTATTTGAGCAAGGTGGCAGAAGCAAGCATGTGGATAGGAGGCAAGCAAGGCAGGCTCCACTTCTCCCAGATCACATCAGTCAGATTCTGACCAGCAATACTGAAGTCTGTGAGGGAACTGTATTTGGAAGTCTTGTCAACAGACGTGGCCTAAAATTTGTCCAAAAGTGCTTGGCTCATGTGACAGCTTGGGTCATTTGTGACTGGATTTTGGAGCTCTGTGCTGGTGTTCAGAGGCTGTGTTTGGGCTCAGCAGGAAAGAATGTGATGAGGTGAGGTGTGCCCTGTGATGAGTGGACAGAGCAGGTGTGGAGCATGTCACCTGGGTGGGGAAGGAAGAGAACTAGCAAGACAGAGTACAGAAGGTCCAGACGAAGACCTTTCACTACCTGTGAGTTATGTGGGAAGTTCGCCTCAGGGCTGGACTCTTCTTTCAGGGCAGGGCAGGGGCGGTCCTGGTGTCCTAGGGAATGGAGATATGGAAGCTACAGGACAGACATGGTTGGACAGAAGTTCACAATTGTATAACAAAGTATTTGAGAACTTCTACGTAAGATATGACTACAAAGGAAAAGAATCACTGCAGCCATTTTTGTAATGTACATTTAACACTGCCTGACGTGTGTTAAGACCCTACCTACGTTCTTCTAAGGAAGAATTCCAATTTGCCAATTCCAGAAGTGGATTAGTTCTGTCAGCTAAGGCCTTTAACGTCAGCTAGACTATCCCAGAATTCGTGCAGACCGTCCAAAATCATTGACTCCAAGAATGTTTAAAGAGTGACTCCTACTGGAGTCACTCTTGCCTGTATGTGACATTTCTTAGCTATTTTGGAAATTGCATAGATGCTTGGGAGGCAAATGGTTGCTTCAGCAGCATCTCTCACTTGTAGAAATACACTTCCATCCCCAGAGAAATGTCCTCATTCTTAATACCTTTGCATTCAGGAATGGGACCAGTGCAAATGACTGGCAGAGCACCCAGGTCATAGAGATGATTTCTCAGGCCTGGCTGGAATGTGACTTTGTGCGGAACCCTTCGCATTGATCTGGCACACGCTGGTACCCAGAGGGCTTCAGACGTATAACATCAGTGCAGCTCCAGGGAACAGTCAGAAATCATTCATTTGCAATAACTTTATTGTTGTGGCAAGGAATGAGTATTTGAGTGATATTTAGGAGGGGAAGCCTGACATGGTAGAGCAGAGGGACATCTTTTCTTGTTTTTACCGGGTGGGACTTGCACTGATAGGCAGAACTACTGATTTGAGGGAAAGTGCCAATTCAAGTAAGACCTATTAACAAATGCTATCTAATTAAATGCTAGGTGGGAGTGCATGTACTATAAGTATAAAAAGAACTTGAGAGATGTGGATGGTGACTTTTAGGGTAAATGAGTAGGCAGGAAAAGTTAAAGTATAAGAAACAGGATTTGAAATAGGCACAATTTGAATAGGGGAAGGAGAAATAACATTTCAATTCAAGGAGCTTGGCTTCAAAGATGTATTCAAAATAAATGGCAAAGTACAAAGATAATGGCTTGATATTTTTACCAGCCTTTATAAAAGGAGTAAATATTTTCAGTGACAGTATCATAAGAACATCAGCTTAGAGATAAAAGCATTGTCTCAGCTCTTCATTTTGACAGGAAGAAACTGAGGCACCAGAGGTTGAGCGTTTCAGGTGCTGCTACCCAGCCAGCGTGTGCTGGATCTCGACTGCCCCAGAGTCCAGCCTACCACTCTGTCTGCTGGCCTGGGTTTTGAAACTTTCATGAACCCAGGAGGAGTGGATTGAGCACCCAGTCAAAAAGCCCTGTGACACTTCTAGGCAACAAAAGTATATGAAGTTCACTTCTAAGGGTCACATATAATAAAAAGCCGCATGGTGATTGTTTTAGCTTTGGGGATAAGGCCCCCAGTCACTCCATCAGTCATGTGATGGAAGGAACCGTTATGAGGCAAAGAGGTTAAAATCAAAACTCTTGCTTTCCTTGCCAAATACATCATTTAACTCAGCCTTTCCAAACAGTTTTCCTATCTGTTCAATGGGAATAATGCAGACTCTGTGCAGGGTTAAATGAGGTGATAAGTAGTGACGTTCAGGAGTCCCATACAAGTGCTCTAGTTTTAAAGGTCCTGCCTGAGCTGGCTTCTGCAAGGCAGAGGCTCATACTCCTCCACCCACCATCCTGAGTTAATGCTACCTAAGTGCTGTCAGGCCATGCTCCCCTCTGGTCCCCCATATTCCTAGTCACCAGAGGCAGGCCTCTGGGAGTTCTAAGGGGTTTAATGTATTCTGAAAGAGACATGCATGCTGGTCAGGTGTTGTGTGGTCTCCGGCCAGTGTATTACTGGGGAGCAGGAAGAATGGCTTTTTTTTGAGGCCCTTTTCTCTGCTCAAGGCCCTTTATTAGCGAGTGGAGGAACTTAGATTTCAGTTCCAGCACCCACTGCCACCATGGCAGGTGCCTTTGCACAGTGCACAACACGTGCAGCAGGCCACAGTTGTCCCAGAGCACCCCGAGCTGCCCTGCTTTGTGCCCGAATTGTCAGCACACTCAGCGTTTGTACCTGTTGGTGCCCTGTTCTCTTTCACTTCACTGCTCTGTAGTTCTTCCTGTCAGCATCATCTGGGCAACTGTATTTTCTTTCTGAGTGCTTCCTCGCACAAAGAGGGGCACAGTGATAACCATCCAAATGAAATGTTTTTATGCGATAAAGAATTTTCTCACACCGCTCATTTGATGTACCTAGCAAACTTGTGAAGTCAGGATTCTCCCCAGTCTGAAAGGAAAGTAGGGTTTGAAGGATTAAGCAGAGTCCATCCTCAGAACTGTGTGGATTGTTTGCAGTTTCATTTGTTACTAAAGACTTAAAAATATTTGAAGCCAGACATCAGATTTTGACTCACTACGGGTTAGCAATCCCCTCTCTGTACCTACCTAGGTGGGTAACGCAGATATCTGTAGGGTAATTAAGGTAAAAGCAGCACATTTGTCATGGGGTGCTTTTGAATGAAAGCCATTTTAAGTGTACTTGCATTTTTCAGGTTTCATGGATATATTCAGAAATATTAATGTTACATAATTGAAGTCTAATATTGCACCCTGAAGCCCAGAGTGGAAAATAAATGACTATTTCCCCCCCCCCCTGCCCTTCCACACCTGTCAGAGTTAATTTTTAACCACTGGTACATTGCAAAACATTATTCATAAATCTTGTTTTAAATACTGTGGGCTTGGTTTTCAACCAAGACTGAAGCAAGCACTAAGGTAGAGGGAAATGACTTTGAGTTTTACTTTTCTCTGATTTATTTTTTATTGGGTTTAAAATGTGGTCTGACATTAGAGAGTTGTCTCACAGGTGAGAAATGAAACCTTGAAAAAAACCATATGCATTTAGAAGGAGTAGGAGTTAAGAAGCAAAAACAAGCCATACAGAGGGGTACTGACAGGAGGTCTTTAGTGTGTGCTCAGAGCACGCCTTATCTCAGGGTGCACATGGTGGTGGGGTGTGGCCCAGTTTTACTTTTGTTTCCACTGTGCAGCCTCCTGTTTCTCCCACATCTGAGAGGGAAATCATGGGAGGTATAACTTTAGTCCCCTAAGCTACAGACACACCTTTTCAGGTACCTTGTATAACATGTTGGTTTTGTGCATAAGTAAAAGTACACTTGTTTATAAATGGAAATGGGATTTTTTCTTAGCATGGAATCACTAAGAGCACTGAGCATGGATTAATGATTTGTCTCATCCAGAAAAGCCCTTCTGTCTTAAGTTGTCCTAAATTAAAATTATGAAGAGGCATTCATTTAACCCTTAAATGAAGATTTTAGTTCATTTAGTCTTTTCTCGCTGCCTTTAAAAAAAAAATGATCTTTGTGCATAAATGATAGAACACAAAAATATGTGAGAGGTTGTGCAGATGAAAACTGGTTGTGGAGCATTTGATGG